AACGCTCCACGTAGATATCTAGCGCTGCAGATAGCTAGCAGCCAGCTAATGTTGGGGCCTTAATACTTAGAATAGGGTATTGGGGCCCATTCTACTATAATTATAATAAGGAAGACCCAAAATACTGTTGATGGACAAAATCCTGCATTACCCATTGTAAGGACTATACCATAGTTCCCATAGTTTAGAGTCCTTAGGGTCATGCAGGATTTTGTCCATCCGCCGTAGTATGAGTACTTATTCAGGCCCCTAAAGTACGCAAAAGCCTGAAGCGTATATAAACCCAAAAACCCCGAACACTGGAACTTCTGACACCAGAGCCCGAGCCCTATGCCCTAAAAGGGACCCCAAAAAGCACATAAGCATAAGCATTTCATAGGGATATCCCTACCTTAATGGGCTTCATTCTAAGGGGGTTTATATGGGATATCCCTATCCTAATTTTTGCTTATGTGCTTTTCTGGGGCCCTATGAAAGGGAGCCCCGTGTTCCGAAGCCATGAGGAGCAAAGGACTGCAAGGACTAATCCCCATGGTAACCCTTACAGCAACCCTTCTAGTTAAGATTCATTATGGTAATTCTCGTATTCCTTGCAGCAACCCTTCACATATCCCCTTTAGTTAACTCCAGAAGCAATGCAAGGACTTTTCAGAGCCCAAGGTGCCGGAACAATCTCCTCTCCTCTGCAAGCCTGGGAGCAGTTCGGGTGAGTTGAGGGTGTATTGGGGTCAAGGGTTTTACTATAGCCTCCTTAGGGTTGTTTTTATGGAGAACATCACAAACATGATTTTTTATTATGGTGCTAAGGGTGGTATAGTTTAAGGTTTACGACCCAAAGTTGAGATGAACATATGATTTCTGCAAGCAGCTGTATTGAATCAAACCCCAGCTCACCTGAAGCTGCCCCTGTGAGCTTAGCAGAAATCTGCATGCTTGAATGAAAGCCGTTTTGGAGTTGCAGGCACAGTTCCTGCATACATCCGCTGCAAAGGGGGTCTGGGCCGGAAGGGCAACCCTAAACCCCTAAACCCTAAACCCTAAACCCCGAATCCCTAAAACCCTCTTCCTCTCCAGGAGTGTAGACGGACACTCGGGTAAGACTTAGAAGGGGCCCCCACCCTGTACTAGTGACTATAAGGATTATATTAGGGCCGTATTATATTCCTATTATACAACTATTACAGGGTGGGGGCAGCTTCTAAGGTAACACCCTCGACCCTAAACCCCTGCGCACCAGGATATAGGGGCTGAAAGAATTACCAATACTATCTTGGAGGTTCCGTATTGTAACTATAGTACAACATACCCCCAACCCTACTCTAATTACTAAGGCGCGTAACATAGAACCCTACTATAGACCCATTTAAAAGACCCCTTAAAGGAAAACGATTCTAATTGTTTAGGCCCCTTTACTACCCGATAGGGGACCCTGAATGTCAATCCCTCGAACCCAAAGTGCAAGGCCAAAGCTCATGCGCCCAGGGTTTCGGGTTCAGGGGTTGAGGGTTTGGCATTCATCCAAGGGTACAAGGAGAGACCCTTAATAAGGACCCTTAGGTATATACCCCTTAATATAGCCATTATATACCCATGATGTACCCATTATAGGGTAGGGGTCCCCATTAAGGGTCCCTCCTTTTCCCCTTTGAATTCAGGGTTCAGGGTCTCCTCATTCCTGGAACTTTGAAGACCCCGCCCCACCAAGTCCAACACTCTTAGCCCCCAGACTCATCTGAGCCACTTGGAGGTTCGGGGGTAGTTATTACTGATGACCCTACTGATCAGTACCCCATGAACCTCCAAGCACGGGAGTTACGATTAGGGTGCGGGTTCGATGCGGGGAATACTGCAGGATTTTAGGGTTGTTAGTAGGGTTTAGAGTTTACGCTTCAGGGCCCCAGAGGCAATGTAGGAACCTGATTGAGAAACCCTGGGCCTATAGCTCGATATAGTAGGATTCATATAAGGAGCCCCAACAAAGGCCCAAGGTCTCTTAATCAGGTTCCTACATTATTAGGGGTTGTTGGGGCAATAGGCTGTAGGGTTTAGGGTGTAGGGATTAGACGAATTGCAGCGTTTTGGGGCTTCAGAGTGCCGGGGGGACTCACAGCTTGGGGTTTAGGGTTTAGGGTTTAGGGTGTGTCGATGCTCCGCGCACACCACCACGCGAGACGTGTGTTGTGGTGTGCGCCCAGGTTCAACGCTCTCGCCCTACCCGCCCACCCAGTCTATGACCTTTGTCGGGTTTAGGGTTTTTTTCAAGGTTTGTGGCTTGGTCTGGCGGTGGCCCAAAATCAGGCCAAGCAGGGCAGTGGGCGGGGCAGGACAGGGCAGCAGGGCAGAGCAGCAGGGGGCAGGGCAGGCAGGGCAGGGAAGGACGGGCCCCTGGGACAACTGTCCCGGAAGGGCCCTGGGACAACTGTCCCGGGGGGGGCCCGGACAAGCGGAGGGTGGGGCGCAACAGTCCCTGGTCCAAGACCTGCCACAGCCAGGCCAGGGAGGAGGGCCCAGGCCGGCCCACCCAGGCAGGCGCATAGGCTAAATCCTAAATCCTAAACCCTAAATCCTACATCCTAAATCCTAAATCCTAAACCCTAAATCCTAAATCTTAAATCCTAAAAACTAAACCATAGATCCTAAATCCTGAATCCTAAATCCTAAATCCTAAATCCTAAACCCTAAATCCTAAATCCTAAGGGATGGGGCCCTCCGAGCTTGGAGGTTTAGGGTCATATTGTTCTGATTGGCTAGCATGCCTGTCGCATGCGCCAGCACCTGAGCCGGTGCTGGGGCTCCTTCGCTGCGCCTGTCGCGCCAGCTACGGAGCCAGCCTCACTGACGCTTCGGCACGCTCGCTGCTGCTATTCGCAGCGCCCGCAGCTCGCTTCAGTTTAGGGTTTAAGGTTTAGGGTTTAGGGTTTAGGGTTTAAGGTTTAGGGTTTAAGGCTTAGGGTTTAGGGTTTACAGCGCCATCGAGTTTATTGGTATTTGGGGTTCCCGAAGGTTCCTTCTTCTACCTATACTACTATCTACCCCGTAGTCCCAATCTAGTTGTGAGTGCCTCTATTCCATCAGATCCGCGACTAACATCTCAGAGTTACGTTGTGACCGCCACGAGGAGGGTTAGGTTTGCACTTCCAACATCACGACAGACGGGGCTCGACTGAGGAACCTTCGAAGCTTTTGACTGATCCTTGATATGGCTTGCTTGGAGTTCATGGATACTTGTAACTGGGGTTAGAAGTAGGGAAACTATACCTATAACCCAGATTGGGGGACTTATAACCCCACTTACAACTACCCCTGAACCTCCAAGTATCCTCACTATCCTCTAGCTCAGCCCCCCGCGCCATCACCCGTTTCTGCCCTCAGCTCTGAACCGTGGTTGTCGCAAACTGAGCGTTGCACCACGAAGATACAGGGAGAAGCAGGATTTGCAAAGTCAAGCTTCGCCCCAAACCACCGAAGATCGTCGATTCAAAAGCAGCGCCAAAGCTCGCCCAAGAGGAGAGGTCTGACCTAGGGTTTAGGGTTAGGGTTTCCGAAGCCCTTAATTAAACCCTTAACCAGTACTGTCTTATGGGCCTCTTTACACCTAAATGCAGTATAGTCTTGCCCCAAGCCCAATTCTAGATGTCATGGCACTAGCGTTAAGCCACAAGTTCCACTGTGCAAAAGAGCTTTAAGCAAGCCTCATTGCTTGATACATGTTCGGGTCGAGGGTCTAAGGCATAGGGTTAAGGATCCGTTATTCCTGTTGTGTTCTGGCAACTTGATCACGTAGAAGCCCCAGAACAGCCCCTACAAACGTCATGAACCCCCTCAAGTACGGACCGCACCAATCTTCATCTTCATGATCCCCGAATAGATGCCTAGGGGCGTAGGAGTGACCTCCTAAGCCAGGACCCAAGAAGTCCCAGGTGTGTCCTGGAGAAGGGCAGAAAATCGATGCAGTATACTCTGCCAATCTCCAGCTCTATCCACGGGTTTAGGGGTTCAGCGCTCCCCGGTTTAGGGTTTCAGGAGTTGGGGGTTCCAGCTCTAGGGGTTTAGGGGTCTAGCGCTCCAGGGATTTAGGAATTTAGGGGAGTTTGGGGATTAGCGGGTTTCGGGTTTGTAGCGATTTAGGTTTTAGGGTTTGGGGTTTAGGGTTTTGGGTTTAGGGTTTGGGGTTTAGGGTTGGGCCACTACTTCACTTTGATCTCTAGGACAAACTACGGTTCAGGGTTCAGAGGCTTTCCTTGAAAAGCCTACAGAGCCCGGACCTCTATAATCCTTAACTCGAAACCACAAACCATGAGGACTAAAATCCAAGCTCGCACTCCCAAGCCCCAACCCTAAACCTTAAACCCTAAAGCCCTAAAACCCTAATTAAGCCCTAAATCTTGAACCCTAAACCTTGAGCTCGTTCCCTTTAACCCGAAGCTGAAGTATCGACCAAAAGTGATAGCCATCATGCCGAGACCTTCCTCATCCCAGAAGTGTTCGTCCGATTGCACAAGCCTGTGCCTTAGTAGCTGAGTGGATACACTTTACACTTTTTGGGATGGTATTACCCCTTATAAAACTAAATGCGTACATTTTTTTTGGGGCTTATGAACTCAGCAACTAAGGTACAACATCACCCGCCGCCAGATACTTAATAGGAGAGGGCCCTAGACAATCATTGAACAGCCAGTGCGGAAGACTGAGAAGAACAGTAGAGGCCCTGTTGAACAACACTTGCAAAGACCCGCGAAACCCTAAACTTTAAAACGGAAGCCCCAAACTATCTCTAAACCCTACTAAAACTTCGAGCCCTAAACCCCGAACGCCTTACTACACCCTTCACCTTCAACCGTAAAACCCTAAAGCCCTAAAACTTAAGAGCCCTGAACCCTAAACCCTGAACCCTAAACCCTAAACCCGCATCCCTGCGGAGAAAGGCCCAACACACTCTTAACAAAAAAAACCCGCATCCCTAAACCCTAAACCCCTCAGCCCCAAAATCCATTGTGCAGACCCCTGTTCTGGAGCCCTCCGCGTCGCTCTCCGTCACCGGAGTTCGGGCGGGGCTGGGGGGGGGCTTAGGGTTTAGGGCCTAGGGTTTAGGGTTTAGGGCTTGGGGCACAGGGTTTACGGTTTAGGGTTTAGGGCTTCAGGTTTTAGGGTTCAGCAGTATCTTTGCATTTATGTAGTCGTCTCGTGTACTGTCTCTCTGATATTGTTTCCTATTCTCTAAATTTGGTTTGTGTTTGCTTCATTTGCATAGATTTGCGGCTTGTTTTTTGAAGTCATCGCTAACTTGTATGCATGCGGACCAACATAGTTTTCCAGGGGTTATTCAAGCCTGCGATTTTCGAGGCGTCGACGCTTGCTCGTACACCTAAACCCGAAGCTCCCTGTACTAAAATCGAAGAATACGGAAAAGGGCACCCTTATCATAAACCCTAAACCCTAAACCCTAAACCCTAAACCCTAAACCCTTATTATAAACGAGCCACTCAGGAACCCAGTGCCCCCAAATCCAGCGCCCAAGGGCCCTCGACCCGGAAAACTGTAAGGACAGGATCTAAGGGGAACTCCGGTTCCTTTAAGGGTCCCTGTAAAGGGATCTATAGGGATTCTATAAGGGTTTAGGGGTTTAGGGCTTTAGAGTTGAAGGTTTAAGGGGAACTCCAGAAAGTTGGAATATGGTTTCAGGGTAGGATACCCTATAATTTACCATAAATGGTTTAGGATAGTGATATTCCAACTTTCTGGCTTCTACTATAAGTTATAGCAGGACTATGTGGGTGGTTGCCTTAATAATTGGAGTGGGTTTTTTTTGGGGGTATATTAAACTATCGTTGTAATAAGGAGCCCCCAAAGTAGTATAGGTGAGGATTCAGGCCCCTATATGAGTGGTTGTCAAAATTGGGGACCCTTTTTGGGGTCCCTAGTTTAATACGGCACCTAATATTTAGGGTACCCAAAGAGGGACGGACCCCAATTTTGACAACTACCCATGTATCTCTTTAACGGAATGGTTCGAGTTTTCTAGAAAGTGAAGTTTACAGGAGCGCCTTTTTAATGGGTAGACTTCAAGTCATACCCAGGATCCCACCACAACTCAAGGCTCATTTCCCAATTAGGTGCTTTTGGGGTATCCAGGCCCGTTGCCTGCGATTGGGATGTCTTGTAGGTTTAGGGCTAAGGTCCTGTGCACCTGCCTTCAAGCCTTACTTCGGACCAAATGACCTTTATAAACAGGGGCACTATGCCCCCTCAGTTTAAACTCCTACTAAGGTGTTGGGATCTTAAAGCCTTCCAGGGTTCCTAAGGTATTTGGGTAGTTCTCGAAATTAGGGTCCTCTTAATTTCGATCCCCACGATAGGGCGGCGTCCCAGCAAAAGGACCCTGAAAGGGTACCGTAGGTCAGAGAACTACTCATATCTTAGGGACCCAAAAAGCACATAAGCATAAGCATTTTATGGGAATATCCCTACCCTTTTTGGGCTTCATTTTAAGGGGATTTATATCGGATATCACTATCCTAATTTTTGCTTATGTGCTTTCTTGGGACCACGGCGCGACAACCCTGAGCCCCAAACCTTATTAGGGTTTAGGGTTTTAGGGTCTCGATCTCCAAACACAGAACCTACACCCCGAGCACGAAAGTCTGAAGCCATACATCCTGAAGCTTGAAACTCTTAGAACCACCTTAACCCCAAATAAACTACCTTTTTAATGACTTATATAAAGAAATCATCTTAGAGAACCCTAAAAAAGGTAGGTTCCTTTGGGTCCAGGTATACGTTGACACAGTTGCGAATCACGTGATGCGCTCCCTGCAGGCCATAAAGGAAGAGGAATTCCACAGCCACCGAACCGACAACATGCTCAATGCAGCCTGTCAGCTGATTCTCCAGGCCGCCGTGGCCAGCGGTTTGGGAGAAGCGGCAGAATGTGCGAATTCACAGAGAAAGAGTCCGCACACGGGGTGCATACCGGCTAGCATTGGCTCGCCGCCCGGGCATCAATTGTGCCCTGCATGTACCAGGACAGTCGGAGTACTGCGCTGCTGGTTCCTGGGGTGGAAAGCTTAGTGTATGTGCCACCAGGCCAGAAGATGCTCGATCAGATCGATGAGTACGGCTCTTGTTGGACCTGCTTCACATCAGTCTGGTCTCGTAGCGGGAAACTTCCCCAGCTGCAGTTCCTGGTGACCTACCCAAGACGGTGCGTCGATGCAGAAATTCCCTAAACCCTAAACCCTATGAGCCCTTGTCGAAGCCCTAAACCCGAAACTGCATGGCTTCATCCTGCTTCGGCTCCAAGCATCATCCCACCTGATGACTCTGTGCTGCCAGCGGCAAAGAGTAGGGGACACAGGGGCACCTGCCACAGTCCTCAAAATATCTTTCAAGGGTTTGTAGAAAACATGGATCTTAATACATCTTGGGGGGTTCCTTATTGGTAGTATAGTATACTGGGAACAGGCTCTAAACCCAAAGCCCAGATTCTAAAACCCTCGCAAGCTGTGTGTCGAACGAGTGGAGAACTCGAAAAAGCAGGAAACCAGCAAGGAGAACCCTACATGTCATCCCAGGGGTTCGAAACCCTAAACCCTAAACCCAAGGATTCGCGTTTAGGGTTTCTGGACCCAAAGCAGGCCCAATATTCCACCCGGACGGCCTTCCACGGGAACCTGAGCAACGACACGGACGAGATGGAGATGATCGAGGCGCAATCGGCTGATGATATAATTCCTGCATGATCTTAGTGACCCCAAACTATGGGAATTATGGTATGCTCCTTAGTATGGGTAATGCAGGATGTATATCATCAACAGTAGTTTTAAGGGTTGTAGAGATGAGGGTTGAGGGTTTTGGCGTTTTATCAGGGAAATGAATTCCGAGGGTATCGTGAGGGCCTTTATTTGAGGGCACTAAACGGGTTCGAGAAGGGCTCCATACTGGCTTTTTTAGTTTTACGGCGCAGGTATGCCGAAGGGTAAAACCGCAGCTGCCAGAAAAGCTCCACAAGGGAGCGGCGTCGGAATTGGGGCCTCAACAAGTAGAGCAGGCTATCGTTCTAGAACGGTAGAAGGCTCTTTAGGGCTTTAGTTCAGGGCCCAAGAAGGGTTTAGACATGAAGAAATGATGGTGTCAGGCGTCCTAGGGTTCAATTGTTTGGGGTTTGGCGCTTGGGGTGGGGTTGAGGGTTTCACTGTGTTTTAGGGTCATCCAGCGAGAAAGAAAGTGCTCCAAACCCTAAACGTGAAGGAAGAAAGAGCTGTCGTCGGTTTGAGCTGGTGCGGAGGCAACCAGGTGTAAGTCCTTAGAGTGCTGAGACCAGTTCACATGGTTTTTTTCGAAGGTAGGGTTTTATGGGGATTTGGGCTTTTTTTGAATAAGCAGTTTCACTGTTTGTACGGTCTTGTCAGTCTTGTGGCCAAGGCTCTTGCAGGAAGCCCAATCTCCGACGTACTAAGCCCAGGCACTGAGGTAGTGACCTTCGGGTTCGACGGCTGGGGTGTTAGGTGTTTAGGTTGTGGGGTTTGGCTTAGAAGCTGCCCCCACCCTGTAATAGTGACTATAAGGATTAATTAGGGCCCTATTATATTCCTATTATACCACTATTACAGGGTGGGGGCCCCTTCTCAGGTGTCTTTGGTTTCAGGGCTTCGTTTCTGTACCGGCCCAGGCTTTCGTACTCTTCTTGTGAAGGCCAAACACAACATGGGAGTTTCCGAAATTAGGGGGTACCTTACTTTGGGATCCTTATAATAAGGATCCTACTATTTAGGGTACTATGTTTGGGTCCCCTATTTTTGGAAACTCCCACATCGCCTAGCCCAAACCCTGTCAACCTACTGACCCTCACTCAATAACTGCCAAGATTATCCCGTAGGGCTTCCTTACTACTAGTACAAGTATAATTTTGATAGGAATATCACGAAAAAGAAAACCAAATTCTTATCATTAAGGCGCCTGTATTAAATCCTTCGGTACACCCTAGAAAGCCTTGAACTTGTATCCAACCACGCCCACGAGGAGCCTCCATTCCCTTGCGCTCGGCAGCCCAGGGGGGCTGTGGGGGGGTTTAGAGTTTAGGATTTCAGGTCTCGGGGTTTAGGGTTTAGGATTGCAGGTTTCGGGGTTCAGGGTTTAAGATTTCAGGTGTCCGGGTTCAGGGTTTAGGTGTTCAGGCTTCGGGGTTTAGGGTTTAGGAGTTCAGGTTTGGGTTGGGATGTCTTAGAAAACACACAAGGCCTCACCTAGTAGAGCGTCAGCTCTTGACGAACCTTCAAGTCGCTTGTAGGTGCTGTTACAAGGTTCTAAAGTAAAAGCCAGAAAGTTGGAATATGATTATCGTAACCCCGTTATGGTAAATTATAGGGGATCCTACCATTAATCCATATTCCAACTTTCTGGAGTTGCCTTTACAAGGTTCTAACAGGATTTGAAACCCTAAACCCCGAAACCCTAAGCCCTAAACCCTAAGCCCTAAACCCTAAACAGGATTTACAGGGTTTTGAAATGCCAACCTTTGAGGGGTCCCTGGGTTTCTTAACTTCGAACCCCTCAAATTTTTCAAATCCCTGCACATCAACCGCAACCTATGTATCTCCATAAGGTCCTAAGTTCAAAAGGAGATAATGCATCGCAGTCCATGCTGCGATTGATACAGGGGCCTGGCTGTTGAGTACTAAGATTCCGTGAGGTAGGGGTTTTACCCCCAACAAAATAATGTACGGGCCTGAACTTTGTTAGCATTAACTCAATATTGTTCCTTATGCTTCCTTGTTGCTAGTAACCATAGACACGGCGCCCCAAATCCTATTAAACTTAGGCCCCCATGCTACATGGAGTTCAGGTCCTGGGCGAATTCAATGACACGGCCTGCTCCGAATCCATGGGTTGCAGCTGGGGTGCGACAGAAACAGGACCCGGCTCCCGGGGTTCTAGGGCCTAATGCTGTATTTTTTTTACCCTGAACCCTAAATCCTGAACTCTAAACCGTGTCTGCTTCTCGCTTTTTGTTCAAGGGTTTTATGTTGTCTCGGAGTTTGGGGTTTACGCTGTTTACGGAGTTACCTGTTTTTAAACTGCCTTTAATGTTGGCGCCTCAAGAAGCAATAGCGTCCTGGGGTATTTTATACAATACCTATAGCAGCTATAGCAGGGAACCTAAAGGGATTATGCAGGCTTCTACGGCAAAATTAATTACTCCCATTCAAGGTATATTCCTTAATTAGGGGATGTTGGAGTCTCTGGGAATTCTTAAGCCCTTGACCCAGCTTGGGATGAGGTTCGTGCGTTGTATCGGGGTTTCCTCACACGCAGGGGGGGATTGATACTGTTGAGTTTAAGAAATCCTGTGCTACCTTAAGGACCCTAAACTATGGGAATTATGGTATAGTCCTTATTATGGGGAATGCAGGATTTCTATCATCAACCGTATGGTGTAGGTGTAGGGCAGGCTGTGTGGGTGGGTGGCCCCGGGTTGCTTTGCCTGGGGCTTGAGCTTGCTGGGTTGTAGTGTTGGGAACCTGACTAGCAGCATAGGGGCCAAAATAGCTAGAGTATCATATTGGGCCACAAAACCCTGTTCAAAAAATATCAAGGCCCCTCTCGTAGTGGGCTATCCTTGTTCAATCCTTGAACCGTAAACCTTGAACCTTGAACCGCAAACCCTCAACAATAAGACCCTAAGGCCCTAAACTCTTGGGCGACGCTGTTTGTGGCTTTCTGTGCCTTGCAGGAAAATCTGGCAACGACAATCTGATCGACGGCTGGCAGATTTATGACACCTGGGAGGAATGCTTCTTGGCTTAAAACATGCCGGGTGTCAGGGGCGAAGACAGAGTTTTGAAGAACTGTAAACCCTAAACCCTGAACCCTGAACCGTAAGCCCTAAACCTTAAACCCCTAAACCCCTAAACCCTAAACCCCTTAACCCCTAAACCCCTAAACCCATGCCTTCACAGTCCGGTCCCACGCAATCAGACTCCCGTCGATGCCCGAGCCCTCTTTCGCCAGGTTCCCGGGTAGAAGCCTTTTGTGCCCTTATTGAAACGGAATAGTAGGGGGAGAAAGGGTACCCTTGTTATAACGGGGGCCTACTCGGGAACCTGGTGTATTCAGGCACCGTTATTGGCAAGCTTCAGCGGCCCCGAGCCCACACCCCAACAGTTTGCTGATCTGGTTTTCGTCAGCTTCGAACCCTTAAGGTTTGAACCCGGATATCGAGGAACATACGGTGTTGCGTTGCCGAAGTGCTCCATGACTACAGGATACTACAGGTTCATGCCGCTACGATCTTATCGGGTTCGGGGCGGTGGTTGATGCTAAAGCCAGAACCAGCTTCTCAAAATTGGGGTTTGTCTTTGGGTCCTTATTATAAGACGGCACCTATTCTCTTGGGTACCCACAAAGGGATCCTAATTTTGACAACCACCCATGTAACAACACCGAACCAGTAAACTGCTTAAGACCATTTAACTCCAAAGCCTTAGACCATGAAGCCCTACACCCTCCCAAGCTCGAAACCCTGAACCCTCGACCCATGAACACCCCATGTCAACCGTTGTGAAGACCTTTGAACGGAAAACCTTGTGACGCCCGATAAAGAACTTCAATGCACCCTTTTTGAACGCTTACAAAGCTAAACGTCCCTAGCCTCTACACCCACTTTAAACCCCAAACCCTGACAAGGGTACTACAAGGGTCCTATACAGGAGCCCTAGTCTACGTACTGAGGCCCCTATATTAACCTGTATAGTTTTCCTTCCAGCAACCCTTAACGACCCCCTAGACTCTTAACCCTGAATCCTAAACCCTAAACCCTAAGACCTTCAAGGAACCCTTAAGGGTTCGAGCCCTTAACGAACCCCTAAACTCTTAACCTTAAAGCCTAAATCCTAAACCCTAATTCCTTTAAGGAACCCTGAAGGGTTCCTTTAAGGAGCCCTCAACGAACCCTTAAGGGTTCCTTTAAGGAGCCCTCCTGGGTTCCTTTTAAGAGACCCGCCAACCCAGGCCAGCAGCGCTGCTGCCAGGATCAGGACAGGGGTGCGTGGTACTGTTGATGGACACAATCCTGCATGACCCTAAGGACTCCTTTAAGGGGTCCTCTACTGTTTAGGGTTTCGGGTTTTAGGGTTTAGGGTTTAGGGGTTTAGGGTTTAGGGTTGATGATATAAATCCTGCATGACCCTAAGGACTCTAAACTATGGGAACTATGGGTATATTCCTTATAATGGGTGATGCAGGATTTTGTCCATCAGCAGTAGGGCCTTAGAGCTTTAGGGTTTAGGGTAGAGGAGGTTAGGGGGCTAGGGTTTAGGGTTTGGGAGTTTAGGGCTTAGGGCGCATCTTGACAGCATTGAGAAATAAACATGCGCGTCTAAAACCCAATTCCAGGAATGCAAGCATATATCTAAGGTGATTAACCAAAAGGCGTATCCACTTCCGGATAAAGTGGTGAGCCTTACCATGTTACCTTCTGAGCCTGCAAATCAGGCACCGTTGTTTGAGCCTGGAATCGGGGCTGGGGAAATCGATGGGTCAAGAAATGGCCATAGGCTTCGGCCAGACTGCTTCAGCAGACGCCTTCCAAATATGGAAGCGGAATTTATCCCTCCCCATGAATATGGCGGTCCCGAACCGCCATATCACCAAATGCGGAGCAACTGCTACCGGTTGCAAACCAAACCCTGTCATGGATGCCCGGTTTGTCTCCACGAGTTGCGCAATAATAGGCCTCCGCGGAGTTCGACATGTCTCCGCCCAATTCGGCGCTGAATGACTGCGAAACAGCGCTATGAAAACATCGACAGATGCGGTTTAGGGGGTTTAGGGTTTAGGGGGCGAGGGTTTAGGATCTAGGGTCTTGGGAGTAGGGGGTTGGGGTTTAGGGGTTTAGGGGCACGCTTCTCTCCTTCTTTGCAGTTGGAGGTTCATGGCTACTTAGAAGTAGAGTTATAAGTAGGGTAACTATACTCATAACCCATATGGGGGGACTTCTAACCCCACTTATACCTACCCCTGAACCTCCAAGCATGGTTCAAGCTTGAATTTGAGCCTCTTTGCTTCTATGTTAAACGTTCTCTCTCCCAAGTTTAGGCTTTAAGGTGTTGTGCTTAGGGTTGTTGCGTTGACAGCACCCAGACAGTTCGTAGCCAGCATTGTACCCTCATGGAGAGAGCCCTTACTGTACCCTTCTTGTACCATTATGCTACCCTTAAGCACTAAATGAACATGACCGCATATTGAGCACCTCGGCCAGAAGTGAGGCGGAGAGTCATCGCCATTTCATGTCAGTTCCTCGTTCAGACATGGGTCACTCGAAACCCTAAACCCTGAACTGTGGTTCCGAAAGGGGACAACCCTCGCCATGGCCCGTAGTATAATATCCACCCAAAAAGGGACCCTAATTTTGACAGCCACCCAAGTTCTATGCCCTAAGACTTAAAGTCTGAAAGCACAGTGAGCCCAAACCGGTTTGGGGTTCAGGGCTCAGGGTTGAGGGTCTTGGGTAGCTCGAACCTTGACAAAAAGCCGGTAAAGAACCTCTACATCGCTACGTGACCCTTACAGAACTCCTGTACATGGGAGCTGATCAAAAGTATGTGCCCTTTTGGGTCTGTATTACAGTATATTCCTTAAAGTCTACGGGACCAAAAAGGGGGCCACATAATTTTGATCGATCCTCATATTAGAAGCACCGAAAAATCCCTTGCTGTAAGGGTCATCGGTTAGGAGTTGAATAGTTTTATAGGACGTTTTAGAGGAGTGCTCCCCTAAACCCTAAACCGTAAACTTTAAATCCTAAGCTCTAAACCTCAACACCCCTGGGTTTAGGGTTTAGGGTTAGGGGAAAATTTGGAGGAACCCTCCCCGGATACCCTAAGTTTTGAAGGATCCTTCTCCGAAGAAAACCCGCTTGCTCCAGGACTGCCGCGCTGCGTCTTACGACACTTTTACCAAGGCCTGGATGCAACGACCAGGGGGGGGGGTTAAGGTTTAGGATTTAGGGTTTACGGTTAAGGGCACCAGTACTTACAGCGTTCCTTGACGGGGTCCTTTCAAGGGATCTATAAGGGGATCTATAGTGGGGTTCTATAGTAGGGATGTCTTGTCGTACAGTATGGCACATAGTACATATACAGGCGACCGAATATCTAGCAAAAACATTTCCCTTTCATAGTCCTCCTGTAGTGAAAGTCTGGTACACCCCTCACCCGATTTGTTCAGATCCCTGCACTCGACGTAGAGCCTGAACCTTAAATGTCTTAATGCGTCTTATGTTTTATTCAGCCCCGTAAGTAAGCTTCATAGAGCCTTCTGGCACCCTAAACCCAAAAAGCCCTAGGCCTTAAACACTAAACCGTAACCCTTAAACCCTAAACCCCTAAGCCCAGTAAAGTTTACCGAGGCTTCCTAGAAGCATGCTGGATTTTGGTTTGGAGTTCAAAGCAGGGCTTGGGGCGTCTTATGCCCTCAGTCTTTTTCAAGGCCCGCGAAGCCCGAACCTCCACACCAAAAACGTGCAACAACCGCAACGAATTAGCATGTATGACTGCATCTCCCCTTCTAGTCCTCATACAACTTCATTATAGGTATCCCCCCTTGTAGTTCCTATGCATCTCTACTATATTGCGCACCCAAACCCTGTGGTAATCATTGAGGCCTCCTTCTTGCTCAAGGGTCAGGAGGGCCTTTTGGGCCTTTCCCTGGGAGATTCCCAAGCCCTCAACTTAAGGGTCTTAGGGTTTGGGTTTAGAGTTTGGGCTTCAGGCTTTTAGGGTTTTAGAGTTAGGCGTACTGGTTTAGACTTTAGGGTAGGCTGGAAATCCTGAGCCCGGCAAGGTCTGCGAGAAGCACATCGAGTACCAAGATCACACGCTCACGCCGCTTGCCCAGTCGCTGGAACCTTTAGGGACCCGAAAAGGGCATGAGCAGAATCACTTCGTAGGGAATCTCTAGCTTAGGGGGCCCTATGCCTTGCATCCAAGAAAAAGGGTTCTAAAAACGGTGCAGGCTTCAGGGAAGGGTGTTCCCGTGAAGGGCGTATGGATAAACAAATGGGTGGTTGTCAACATTGGGGTCCGTCTTTGGGTCCTTATTATAATAAGGCACCTACTATTTAGGGCACCCCAAAAAGGGACCATAATTTTGACAACCACCCAATTTTTAGGCGAAGGTTTCGGTCCAATTTTAAGCTTGGTGACCTAGTAGCTGAAGAAGCAAACTCTGATTGATGGCCTCTCTTTAAGCTTTTCTGACGGTTTAGGGTTTAGGGTTTTAGGGTTTAGGGCTTCTGAATTCTGCAGTTACTAGGTTTACATGGGCTTCAGCGATGTTGGGTTCAGGAGTCGCCAGGCCTTAAACAACTCAACCGAAGCCCCAAACGGGCAGCACACAGTGCACAACAGCCGACCCTCCGAATCCCAAGCCCTGGAACGGAGGCCCTGACCCTGAACACGAGAGAGGGTTTGCAGAACTAATCCTACACCCTGAACCCTCAGCCCGAAATATGGCCTTCCAAGGGACTCCAGCACGGGCATGTATGCCCCCATCAGCTCACGTTCGCCGCCGATGGACGGATACGCGCTTTTCAAGGTCCGGGGGCGGGGGCTTCGGCAAGGGTTTGGGTTCAGCCCAGAGACTCCAATATCCCTTTATTAAGGAATATACTTTATATCATATTTGGGATCCTACTATTTAAGGTATATTCCTTAATGAAGGGATATTGGAGTCTCTGGGAGGGCTCAGGGTTTCGGGTCAGATCCCTCAGTCCTAGCACCTCAGAGGTCTCCAAGCTCTTGAATCCTAGACCCTAGACCCTAAACCCAAAGCCCTGTGACCTACTGGGCGAAGGAAAAGGGCCGCAAAAAAGACCGACACCTTAGACCCTGAAGGTTTTAAACCCCTCATATTGCAGCCCTCGTCAAGCCCTAAGAGCCCTAAAACCCTAAACCCTAAACTCTACAAGACCCGAAGTCCCCTAGACCCTTGCACGAAGATCTAGTGTGTGATGTGTGTACACAGTACAAACAAGTATATGTAGATCTGTTTAGGGATACATATATACATATATATATATATATATGTATACATACACATCGACATGTATGTATGTATGTATGTACGTACGTATGCGTGTTAGACCTACGATGCACGTCTGAAACTGGGCCTGAAGGTCTTCAGCACCCTGGTCTAGTTTTTAAAGGCTCTGGAGCTCCATAACATAGAGGCCCGGGCATTTAGTGGAATGCAGCCTTCTGGCCCTTTAAACGGTTGAGGGGTTTAGCGGTTTAGGGTCTAGGGGTTTAGGGTTTTGGGTTGTTTAGTGTTATAATACAGGTCCCCAAACCCGGTTCTCGATTCTCGTCACTAGGGCCCCGTATGTGAATGAGTTGAGGAACCCAGAGCCCCCGCGAAAGAGTGTCCAGGGCAAGCTGGAGTGGGAAGGCCTTCAGGTTGCGGCATATCCCGGCCATCGCCCCTTGCCCCAGATTTGATCGGGCCATAGAAGCGGGTTTTCGGTCTTCTATGGGTGTGCTTACAGGATTTTGCAGGATGTTTAGGGTTTACAAGCTTAGTCATAGAAGTCTTGTTTTTTTTTCCTGGGGTTTGGGAGTTCTTCTGGAAACAGATCAAAGGATGAACTAGATTCGAGGGTTTAGGGATTCTAGCCGTATGTCGAGCCGTACCTGCGTCGGTACGCTTTGAGTTTAAAGGAGCTACGATCGGGCTGTGAATCCAGTTATCGTTCGTTAACATGTACTTCCGGCATCTGGGGTTAAGTAAAGCCCCAAAATCCCTCAGCACCCAACCCGGAAGTCTGTGTTACAAACGCTTGACGTGCACAGTTTGTTCCCATTTGACTATTCCGACTCCAAAAGCCGTTAAAGAATGAGATCTCCGAAAACGATAGTAGGGAAGGGACCGTGGCAGGCGGCATATCAGAGCCACAAAGCCCCAAGCAAGCCGTTCTAGAAGCGCTTTCAACCCATATCACAAACCCCACGAAGCCGTGCGTATTCACCAAAGCTTAAACCTTAAATCCCAAAGCCGAAATCCCCGAAACCCTTAACCATAATCCCCTAAACACAATCGTTATGGCTTAGTAGCTGAGTGGATACACTCTACACTTCTTGGGATAATATTACCCACTATAAAACTGAAAGTGTAGACGTTTTGAAGCTTATGAACTCAGCACCTAAGTATGACCCTAACCCCTAAACCCTAATTCCTAAACCCGAAACCCCTTGACCCCGAAACCCTAATCCCCTAAACACATTCCTTATGATAAACCGGAGAAACCATATTACCCTGTTCGTAATCCTTGTAGACCCTCTTTTAAAGAACCCTTTAAAGGAACCCATATCCCAACAGTTAAGGTCCCTATATTATGATAAACCGGAGGGTTCGGTCTGAGGCTCGGTCACGTTCTGCAAGGCGATGTGCAGTGCGGATGAGCCTCCCAGCTGCAAGGGAACAAGATCCTCTTGCGGTTTAGGGGTTTCGGGTTTAGGGTTTCGGGTTTCGGGTCTGGGATTTAGGTTTAGGGGTTTAGGGTTTAGGGTTCCTTTCAAGGTTGTAAGGTCTCTGGGTTTTGAGGGTTTTTGTGCCACTAGTGCTCCTCGTCGTCGCCATCGTCGTCGTGTCGTAGTCATCGTAGCCCCAGACCCCCGGGCTCTACTTTTTGCATCCCCGGGGGTCTGGGGCAGTGGTGGAGGTGGTAGACGGAGTAGGAGCAGAGTAGGAGCTGGACCGAGTCGGAGTAGGAGTGGAGTACAACTCTCGACTCCTAGTGGGAGCTGAATTAAGCTACTCTAGGCCAAGAGTGAGGCCTACAATGCAAGAGAATGTGAGAGGTCCCGAAGCTCAAGTTCCAATCTAAGACATGGTCTCCAGGTGTAGTCGGGCCCTCATGTATGAGATCAGATATTATGTGTAATAAGTCTTGCAGCCAGTGTTCTACAAGGTTCATTCCAGAGGTGACGCGGCCGCAAAAGACGCAGCGAACGCCAGTGCGTAGGGCGGACCGTGGTGAGGAGGCTAAGAAGCCCGCGGCTAAGCGGCAGGAGCAGGAGCCAAAGCCTGCTGAGGACACATCCTGGACGAAGCCCGTGCCCGTTAAGCGGGTGTGCTGCGAGTTCTGCTGGCAGCTGGTGTCAGAGCAAGGCTTGCACTTGCACCAGGTGTCAAACCTGAAGTGCCTTCACTACCAGAAGCAGCAGAAGACTGAGAAGAAAGAGGAGGAACAGAGGAAGAAGCACAACCGCAAGGAAGGGCGCCATAAGATGGAGATGGAGAAGGCTTCCTCGAAGCTTTGGAGGTGTTGAAGCTTTAGGGCTCTAGGACTCTAAAGTTGTACGGTTGATGATATAAATCCTGCATTACCCATTATCAGGAATATACCATAATTTCCATAGTTTAGGATCCTTAAGGTAATGCAGGATTTCTATCATCAACACTAGGACCACAAGCTTCGCAGTGTAGGTTTTGGAGTTTCTCGGGCTCTCCAGGTTAAGGTCTAGGCTTTCATTCAAAGAGGCTCGATGTTTACTGCCACTATGGAGTTAGGCCCCAACAGACCCTCCTTATTGTGGTAGTAGTGACTCAGTTCTATCATGATTGTTTAGGGTTTGCGGAGTTAGCTATTTACTTCCATCATGGTAGTATTTTGGGAGCCGGGATTGTTTAGGGTTTCATGATCCCTAAATCCTAAACCCTGAACCCCTAAACCCTATATAGACCCTAAACCAAAACCCTAAACCAAAACCCTAAACCCTAAACCAAAACCCTGAACCCCTAAACCCTAAACCCTAACCCCTAAAGCAAAACCCTATACCCCAAACCCACAATAAGGGCTACTTGGAGGGTCGGGGGACTTAGTAAGTAGGTAGTAAGTAGACTTATAAGTACCCTAAAAGGGACCCTAATTGGGGTTATGGTACTTATAAGTCCCCAAAATAACCAGTTACTAAGTCCCCTAAAACCTAAACCCTAAACCCCTACAGAATCCCTATAGATCCCTTTAAGGGAACCCTAAAGGAACCCCTTATAGTTACTAAGTCCCCTAAAGACCCTCCAAGTACGAAGTGCGACCCCCGAGCCGCCCCAAAAGCCTTGCGACCTCGCTTCGGAGTCAGGCTTTGCAACTCCTTCATCTACAACGACGCCTGGGGGTGCTTCTTGAGGTGCGCAGATAGTATATACTAGAGTATATACTATAGTATATAGTATAGTATATAGTATAGTATATAGTTGAGTATATAGTTGAGTATGTAGTAGTATATGGTGCAGTATATAGTTAAGGATGTGGTAGAGTGATGTGGGGTTTCCGGCTGAGGCTTTCTGGTTAAGCCCCCCAAACCCTACGAGTCAACCGAAAGGTTTCGGTCGTGTGTCGAGGCGCATGCTGTGCTTCTTGTGCCTTTGATTGAAACTAGGACCCAGATTAGGCCCTTATTCCCTTTTTTAGGGTTCTGGTTCCCTTATTAAGCCCCTTTCAACCAAAAAGGGCACCCTTTTTATTCCTAGGTTACTCTTGGGTCTAGGAAAAAAGGTGCTTTCAAGGAGGTTAAGGGTTCTATCAGGGTTGTTTAAAGTGTTGGGTCCAACGTTTGGCGGTTTTTGAGCGAGGGGAGTTTCGTGCTTGTCTCAGAGAGCTGTTCAAGGGCTTAGGGTCTAGGGTTTAGGGTTTCGGGTAAAGGGTTTCGGGCAACCCCTCAACAACATAAAACAAGCACTGCATCAGAAGGCAGCGGAGATTTCTCAAACACTGAAGGTCCTACGACTTCGCGTCTGTATTACCGCCCTCCTGATATGCTGACATTCTACAAACCATAGCCACCCCAAAACCTAAGCTCTGAAATGTCAACCCAAAGCAGCCTGCTGAAACTCCGTGAGCCTATGGGGCCTTTAGAAATCTCTGAAACGGTTTTAGGGTTTAGGCTTCAGGGTTTGGGGTTCAGGGTTTCTGCATCAGGGTTTATGCTTTAGGGTTCAGGGGTTAGGGCTTAGGGTTCAACACCAGCTCAAACCCTGTAGCTGCAAGCGTAAGGCATTCAGCATCCAACCTTTAAGACACACCTTACGACCCCATGGAAACCATGTTTCCGAACTTCTAAAACCTGGTAACAAAAAGATGGTAAATCCCTATAAGACAACCTTTTGAAACCTTAAACCCCTGCGCCCTAACGTCCTCGACGTTCAGCGCTGCACCGCAGGACGCAGTGCCTTCTCCCAGAGTCTATCAAGGCAGATGCATGTGCTCAGGCTTTTTCGGTTTCAGGGTGTCGGGTTCAGGACTAGATTCCAGAGTCCCTTGACGTAGGGATCAGGGTTCCCATAATGGGCTTCATATTAAGGAATCCCTACCCCAAGAATCTTAAGCCCCCCTTTTGGCTTCCCATTAAACCCTAAAACCTTAAAGGTTGGGTCGACAAGTTCTTGGAGTCGCGCTTACGAGTAGCTTGTATCCCGTGGTTTCAGTACAGACCCAAAGCCTCGCGTTTCTATGTGAGCATTTTAGGGTTTAGGGTTTAGGGTTTAGGGTTCAGGGATTTGTGGACATAAAACGAAACCCAACAAAGTAAGGACCAAGATATGACGAAGCACACATGCACACCCCTAACCCTAAACAGTGAACCCAGCCCCCAAACCCTGGACCCCAACCTCCACTTCAAGCAACTCGAAACCAACAAAACAAGAGCTTTGAACCCTCGACCGAAACTGTAGAGACTCTGAAGCTACCCGAGCTGCTCCTCCTGGAAGGAGTTGATCTAAACCCTCAACCCTAAGCCCTAAACCCTAAACCCTGAACCCTAACCCCTAAACCCTAAACCCCAAACCTGAACCCTACACGCCAAAAACCTAAACCCTAAGCCCTAAACCCTATAGCCTAAAACCCCAAACCCTGAACCATAGAGCACCTACAAGTTCCGGCCGATCAGCAGCCGAATCATTGCGGATGATAACATCTTAGTTTTCCATCCTCTGCAAAATACTATACAATATGATAGACCACAGAATCAGATCTCAACCATCAACCCTAACCCCTCAGCCGCAAAGTTTGTACTCCACAAACTAGGGCCCCCACATTCGAACACTTCGTGGGGCCCTCGATGTCAGATCGAAGAAGCCGACAGCGGCTACATGACCTACTACAAGGTCCGTGGTTGGGGTTTGGGGCTTTGGGTTTAGGGTTGTGGGTTCAGGGGTTTGGGGTTTAGGGTTTGGGGGGTTTTGGGGTTTAGGGTGACCTGATGATCGGGATAGAAGGTTTTGCTTGCGTAGGGATTACAGCTTCCAAGGACGAACAGATGATTCAGGATGAATGTTATGGTTCCGCTCAGGGCTGATGTTGTCAGCGGACATTTTCTTTGCCCTCGTGCCTCCAAGTGTCTAGTATTTTGGGGCTATAGCAACAGGTAGTTCATTGGCTTGGTTTCGGGATTTTTCGGGGCTTTGATTTCTGCGATTGGGGTCCGTGATTTAGGCCTGGCCTGTTCTATGGCCAGACGCGTGAGGGTACGTACTCTCGCTGTCTCGTTACCTCGTATTGTTTGTGCTTTCAGTGAGGGCAGTCAGCGCGATCCTGAATAAACCCACAGTCGCCAGCCGCCACCGAACTGTACTTGCACTCGCCCATAAAACTGTAGGTGATTGGATTTATGATTCAATCAATGCACAAAGGGCTTAAGCACTCAAGGTTCGCAGAGCCGGGACTGCTTGAGGTTAAGATACGGTTTTCCGTACAGCATGAGGGTTGCAATAGGGTGCTTGAAGGAGCTCTTTCAGGGTGTAGGGTTTAGAGTTTCGGTACTGGTGCCGAATTAAGTCCCAACGTAGGGGTTGCTGATTGGGCATTTTCGTGGGTTTTCTATAGGATTTGCGAGGATTTGCGGCTTGGTGTCTTTACAAGGTTTGCAGGGGTTCTGCTGAGATTTAACGCGAATCCTGAGTACTTTATTGAGCGGTTGCGGGACCTTTTTGCATTTGATGGGTTTGTTTGGGTTCAGGGCTTAGGGTTTCGGATTTAGAGTTGAGTTTTGTGTTCAGCGGGAGTGTCAGGTGGACTCGCCTCACCGGAAGTATCCTGGCTGCAGAAACACCTTTAGCCCGCCCTGGGTATGGTTTTAGGGTTAAGGGTTTTTTCTTGGTCTGGTTAGGTCTTGGTCCTAGCATTCCTACATCCCAATATCGCCGAAACTCTGAATGCTTCGAGTACCATGCTGACTTTGGTATATTATTGGTATTGTGGTTCTAAGGGCACACCAGCTACAGCTAAGGGCCCCAAGGACTCAGAAGTGTTTGTGATACTCGTGCTACTCTCGACGATCTTGTGCGCTGATTGGCGCCTTATCTCTTGCCCAGCTGAAGTTTAAGGTTTCAGGTTTATAAAGGAGTCTCCGAAAACAGGAGACCCTAATACCCTAAACCCTAAACCCTAAACCCTAAACCCTAAACCCTAAACCCCTAAACCTTAAACCGTGGCTCCCAAATAGTAGGATCCTTAGGGCCCCTTTTTCAGACTTGACATATCCTCGGCCGCCCGACTCTGGGGGACTTGGAAACGAAAGGCCTCCCCATCCAAGCCAAACTGTCAATCTCTATGACGGCTGCCCAGCTCCCTGAGCTTACGAAGTGAACCCTCAAAGGGCTTAAGGTTCATATATACTTAGGGTTTAGGGTTTTGGGTTTAGGGTTTAGGGTTTAGGGATTCATATACCATACAGGGTTTCACATTTTGTTGGGGATCCTCTTCGCCTCGTTTCGATGAGGTGCACTGCGCCGGGAGACCTCGACCAAGCAAGCAGGTGCAGTCGGCTTACCATACAAGCCTAAATAGATACTATTAATATTCGCTAGGGTTCCTGCTTATATTGTATTATAAAGACCTAATGACTGAGGTCCCTACAAAATGCCTCTGATGATATCGCCACGTCAGCCTCGAATCACTGGGTTTCTGTATGGGTTTCGAACGGATCTTTGAGGGTTCTTCAGACCAAAACCCCAGGGCGGAAACCCTGCACCCTAAACCCTAGACCCGGAACCCTAAACCCTAAGCCCTCAACCCTAAACCCTAAACCCTACACCCTAATTTAAGGGATCCTTTGTAGGTTTAGGGTTTTGGAGCTTCGGCCTTGGTGTTTGGAGTAGGCTTTAGGTTTGGGGTGCAGGTTTAGGGTGAGCGGCTCAGGAATTTGGGGTTTAGGCCTTCGGATGTATATGTATAAATACATATATATATATATATATATACACATATAATTGTAATTATATATATATATATATATATATATATACACATATAATTGTAATTATATATATATATATATATTATACACAGAGACAGTTAGGTATATGTATACATAGAGCCATATAGGCGCAGTGTATATGTATCCGCATGTGCCTGCATCGGGTTTTAGCCGTTTCTTGCCTTGTGACTTTGGGAGCATCTGGCAGGTGGGCATGTCAGAGACGATACAAGGCAAGCTTAGTCTTATCCGATTAATCCCCCTAAACCCTGAAGCCTAAAGCGGCATCATCATTGTTGCTCTTCTCCATGTGCGGGGTCCCCTAAACTCGGGATCTTCCGGTCAAAGGCTACGTCACTCTCCTTGTAAGGACGGGCCCTAGAAATCAAGAGAGCCTGGACCTGCCTTTGGGGTTTAGGGTTTGGGTTTTAGGGCCTTGAGGGTTTAGGGCTTGGTCTTCCGAAGCACACATCCGAGAAGTTCCCCCCCCCCCCCACCCGTACGGTTGATAATATTAATCCTGCATTACCCATAATAAGGAATATATGGGAATTATGGTATATTCCTTATTATGGGTCATGCAGGATTTATATCATCAACCGGTAGAACAGGGGTGGAGCCAGGATGGCATGAGTTCCGAATCGATCCGTTGAACTTGCCGGCGGCGTTTGCCATATCAACCCATGCTGCCAAGCGAGAGCTACAGCTGACGGCCAACAGAAAGGGCCGCGGGTGGTTGCGGATAGCCATCTAAACCATCCCCAGTTTTGGCACCCATACGACGAATACGATATCAGATGGAATTCTATCGAAGCCACAGCTTCAGTCGACTCTTCACTTGCTCTGGACTCGACAGAAGGCCGCAGCGGCCCAACATCCTAAACTCAAAGCCGACATTGCCCCACGTCCAAGGTCCTAAGCCCCAAGGCGTTATGTGTTTGAAGCCTGAAATCCTAAACCCTCAACCAGTAAACCCTAAAACCTCATCGCCAGGTGGCGGATTCTATACCATAGTATACCCAAGCATTCCGTTTTAACTGCTAAGGACCCTATGTTACCTGCTCTACAAACCCGATCACCAGGAAGTCTCCATTCATTATTAAGGCTCCTATGTTACAAAACCCTGAACCCCAGACCTTAAACCCTGAATCCCCATCACCAGGAACCGGATTCTGATGCCAGCGGACCAGTTTGGCAGCTCCACCAGCCCCTTTGGACAAAACCCTAGTGGGGTTCCTTTGAGGGTTCCCTTAGGGTTCCTTTAAGGGTTTAGGGTTCTTGTAAGGGTTCTAGTACTATTTCCCAGTATTACTCTTTTGCACTTGTTTCTTTGTGCGTTCCACTATTAAAGCCAAATAGCAGGAAAAAGGGCACCCTTATTGTTGGGGAGGTACTGGGGAGCATAGATGAATTTCCTGCAGCAGACTTTCTATAAAAGCATTTGGTTTAGCGTACAAGGTTAAGGTCTACGACTGCATGTTCTTGTGCTGGTTGGGCTTTAGGGTTTTAGGGTGGAGCTGTTGGGACTAAGGGTGTAGGGTTAAGGGGTTTACCCAAACCCTAATGAACAGACCTCTTCTGCTTAAGGGCTTCAGTAACTAGGGGTCCGCATTGGGAACTAGGGTGTTGGGTTCACGCGAGGCTTCAGGTGCGTATTTGGAGTTTCCCGTTTCAGGACGTTGTTTAGGGTCAGGTGCAGGGTTTAGGTTGGCCAGAGTGGCTACGGACAGGCTACGACTTGCGGCTCCTTAACCTAAACCCTGTACCCCAAACCCGACCCCCCAAAACCTCTTTAAACTCTTGCTTTCAACGGGCCACAGCTCATTAAAGGCACGAGAAACCCTGTCCAACTACTTCCGAGCTCGAGCAAGCACTAAGAAGATAGTAGAATCTAGGTTCCTGAGTAGTACCCTTTTGTCCTATAAGGCCCTACTTGGAGGGTTGGGGGACTTAGTAAGTAGGTAGTAAGTAGATTTATAAGTACCCGGAAAGCGACCCTAATTGGGGTTATGGTACTTATGACTCCGTAAAATAGCCAGTTACAAAGTACCCCGACCCTCCAAGTATTCAGAAACCTAGGAATGGACACAAGAACTTCATGAGAGCCTTCGGAAGCTAAGAGCCTGCTGTCCCATTCTATGCCATTACTATGCTATGCTTTACTATAGGGTGAAGGGTTTAGGGTTTAGGGTATACTACACTATGCTGTGCTATGCTATGCTATACTGCTATACTATACAGTACAATGCTATAGTAGGCTTGACTAGATTATACTTGACTATACTAGACTATGTAAAGAGTGTCTGTCCAGGCTCTAGTAATAGTTTAGAGTTTAAGGTTTTAGGGCTTTAGGGTTTGAAGGTTTGAGGGCTTAGGGTTTAGAGTTTACAGTTGAGGGTTTCAGGTTTTAAGGGTTCAGGTGTCACAGCCTTGACATGCCTTGGGTTGATTTTTGCGGGGTTCAAGTGACAGCCAGCATTGCAATGTGCTCGAACGCCCTACGTCCCAGTATAAACACCAAGCCTTGCAAGCCTAAACCCGCCGAGACCCCAAACCCTCAATCCCCGCCTCTAATGGTTTTTTCACATCCTCACAGAGAAGATTAATGTCGGGTTAGCGATTCAGGCGTTGAGGGTCTGCAGCTTTGGCATCAGGGTCCAGTGTTTCGAAGTTTAAGATCTAGGATCCAGGGAATCCAGGGTTTATGGAATCTAGGTTTAGGGTTTCGGGCGCGGGGGCTTAGGGTTTGGGGTTTATGGTCCTTAAAACCCCACATCCTAATAAACCCCGTAGGGTTTGGGGAAAATCGCCGGGCTAATGGTGAGCCGAGGCTCATTTGCTCTTGCCTTTGCCGGAAACCGTCGACGCGGCTACCACCGAAATTACAACCTCCGAGACTTGGATGCCTACCGTGTCCGAAGAGTTTTCGGTGTAAGGTAGAAGCCAGAAAGTTGGAATATGATTATCCTAACCCTTCTATGGTACATTATAGGGTATCCTACCCTGAAACCATATTCCAACTTTCTGCAGTTCCCTTAGGGTGTAGGTTTCAGGGATCAGTAAACTGCAACTAGAATTATGATCACTTTTTACAAGTAAGTTATAGCTACAGTAAAGTTCTCGTATTAAGTGAAATGCGATTCTACCAAAAACCCTAAACCCTCCAATATTTATATTCAGATGTTCAGGGTCTGGGAGGGTCTGGGGGATGTCGTCGCTCCCGGTTTCGATTTTGCGCAGGGTCGCAGCTTATTTAGGGGCCTGAACAATTTCCTATCTATATACATGTACATATATATATATATATATATGAGAATATATATATATATATATGTATGTATATATGTATTGTTTTGGGTATAATACACTATCCTAAACCCCAAGCCAACAACTCCCATGCCCGCCTATCCCCTAAACCCTACACCGTCCTATATCCTAAACTGAGAACCCCGAGTGTTAGGCCGTTGGCTCGATTCTTTAGGGAGGCTCAGGCAGCTTCATCTAGCATTTGTGGTTTTGGGTGTGGGCGCGGGCTCAAATGTGACAAAGTGAGGGGCTAGCCCTAAACCCTAAACCCTAAACCCTAGTTTAGGATTCAGGGTTGAAGGCATCGGTGCCGGATGTAGGGTTCCCTTAAAACTCTTTGCAGGTCTGGATTTAAAATCTTCAACCCGAACTAAACTCCAAGAAGCTGAAACCGTAAACCCCAAAACCCCAAAGCCCAAACCTCAAGCCCCTAAACTCTGAACCCTAAATCCTCTATTGTGAAGGGGCATTACGGCCCGAAGAATTCACAGCAAAAAGCTGGCTTCTGCAGTGCAATGCTGTAATGTCTTTTTTTGCGGGGGACGTGTTCTTTAAAGACTTTCTGGGGTTTAAAAGTTCAGGGTTTAGGGGCTTAGGGTGTGGGGGTTTAGGGTTTAGGCTTGTTTAAAGAAGCCCTTTATGAAATCAGCGTGTGCGCTGTCTACTTCTTGCGCCGTGGGTACTTCAAAGCCCAGTTATTGATTTCCGTCGGGCTGGAGGGGTGCATTCTGCTACGGTTGATGACATAAATCCTGCATCACCCATAATAAGGAATATACCATAAAGCCCACAGTTTAGGGTCCTTAAGGTAGTGCAGGATTTATATCATCAACAGAATGGCTCGTAGGGACTCTAAGGGGGCTAACGCAATAATCTGGCAAGTCTTACACTCTAATTTCACACCAGGAAACTCGCAAGCCCTTTAAGTAAGCTCATCGTACTGAGGACCCCTCGATAGTTCGAATTACATTCCTTATTCCAGAGGTTTGGGGTAGCTTCTTCACGGTTTATTTGACACCCCACGATACTTTGCAGCCCAGTGCAAAGGCCTTCATCATGACAAATGGTGTTTTCTTAGGGCTCCTTATTGGTATTTCGTTTGATATATCAAACGAAACCAAGCGGTAATCAGGCCCCTATTTTGTATTGTATAAAGCCTGGTACTCCATGGCAGCCATTGAGAATCCACCCTAAACCCTAAGCCCTGGACGACAAGTCCTACCTGGAGGTTCAGGGGTAGTTCTAAGTGGGGTTATAAGTCCCCTAGCATGGGTTATAACTATAGTTACCCTGCTTATTGCCCTACTTATAGCTACCCATGAACCTCCAAGCACCAGGATACTTGACGCGTACCGGCTGGACCGACAACACACCGGTGACACCCGAGGCTAATCTTGGAGGGGGTTTGGGATTTGGAGTTTTGGGTTTAGGGTTTAGGGGTTTACGGTTTAGGGTTTAGGGGTTTAGGGTTTAGGGTTTAGCTTTACAAGATACAAGATTCAAGACGTTAGTTGTTCTATTGAAAAGCACTCCACTACTCCAGGAGGATAGACTTCTGTCGAGCTTTGGATATCGGGTCTTGGGCTTCACGTCTATAGGTCTGCAAAAGCTGTACTTACATTCCCAGAGACTCGAATATTCCTTAATTAAGGAATATACCTTAAACTATAGTAGGATCCCTTTAATATGATTTAAGGACTATTCCTTAATTACGGGATATTGGAGTCTCTGGCTTCTTGTGCAGTCCCGTTCTCACCGTACTCGAGTAGATCGCCAAACGAGGGGTCTGATAAGGAAGGCACAACGGTATGGCAGTTTCCGAACATAGGGGACCCTAAAATAACACCCTAAATATTAGGATCCTTATTATAAGGACCCCAAAATAAGGTACCCCTCATGCTCAGAAACCCTAAACCCTAAACCCTTTATAGAACTGTTAGAGATCCCTTGAAGGAGCCCTTATAGATCCCTCCCTAATTCGCGGAAACTCCTAGATCGCAGCTAGAGGAAGGGGAAGATGGTTGACGGTCCCAGAGACTCCAATATCCCTTAATTAAGGAATATACCTTAAATTGTCGTAGGATCCTTAATATGATTTAAGGTATATTCCGTATATTCCTTAATTAAGGGATATTGGAGTCTCTGGGGTTAGGGTTTCTGGGTTGGAGTGTTCGAGCGTGAGGGTCTTGCGGGTTTAATGTTTAAGGTTCTACTTTAAGGTTCAGCGGTAGTTATAAGGGTTCCTTTAAGGGCCCCTTTAAAGGGATCTATAGGGGTTCGATAAGGGTATAGGGTTTAGGGCCTACTTGGAGGTTCAGGGGTAGTTGCAAGTGGGGTTATACGTCCCCTAACATGGGTAGTAAGTATAGTTATACTCTACTTATAACCCTACTTACAAGTACCTATGAAGCTCCAAGTAATGTTTACTTGGAGGGCCGGGGGACTTAGTAACTGGTTATTTTAGGGACTTATAAGTACCATAACCCCAATTAGGGTCCCTTTTCGGGTACTTATAAGTCTACTTACTACCTACTTACTAAGTCCCCCGACCCTCCAAGTAAGGTTCTAGAGCTTTTGTGTTTACAGGGCTTTGGAGTTTTGAGGGCATTGGAGGTTTGGACGTTGACGTTAGCCGTTCATTGGTGAGGGTTTGTTGTGGCTTCTTGGGTTTCCGCTTCTAGGGGGTATCTAGGGGCTTAGGGTTCAGGGTGGTACTGTTGATGATAGAAATCCTGCATTACCCATAATTAAGGAATATACCATAATTAATTCCCATAGTTTAGGGTCCTTAAGGTAATGCAGGATTTATTTCATCAACCGTAGGGTTCAGAGTGGTAGGGCTTCGGGGTTTCTGAGCTTCAGGGGTCGGAGTTGAGTTCGGGGTCGAGCGTTTGCCCAGAGACTCCAATATCCCTTAATTAAGGAGTAGACCTTAAATTATAGTCGGATCCCAAATATGATTTAAGGTATATTCCTTAATTAAGGGATTTTGGAGTCACTGGGTGCGTTGTTAGGATTGCAGGTGGTGGGTTTCGGGCCCTTTCGTTTAAGGATCCCTGCGAGGAGCGAACACAACCCCAGACCTGAAACAAACCCTGAACTCCTGAGAGCCCTTCAAAGCCCAAGCCCTAAACCCCACGGATGTTGGAGGAGAGCGATGGACGCCTCCTGTCCTACATGCCACCTGTCTGCCCTTCTTTGGCTTTTTGAAACCTTTCGGGTCTGAGGATCGACGTAGGAGTTTCCGAAAGTTAGGGGTACCGTATTTTTGGGTCCTCAAAAAAACTGTTGATGATATGAATCCTGCATTACCTTAAGGACCCCAAACTATGGGAATTATGGAATATTCCTTATGATGGGCAATGCAGGATTTGTATCATCAACATCAGGATCCTACTATTTAGGGTACTATATCAGGGTCCCCATTATTCGGAAACTCCGCCTTTGGGTGAGCGCCTAGGGGGGGTCATCACATTGCGCCCCCTCCCCAGTCTGGGAGGGCTTTACAAAGCGGTTCTTGGGTCGTGATGTAGGGGCCGCAAAAATTAGTCAAAGTCGGGTTTAAGGTTTGGGGCTTATAGGGTTTAGGATTTAGAGACTTGGGTTTAGGTGTACACTGATCCTAAGCCTGGCGGTGGTATTGAAAGGCTTGAGCAGGCTACGGCTAGGACTTTGGTGTTCAAGCTGCTGTCTTGTAGAATTCAGAAAGTGTCATAGTTTCACGGCTAAAATCCAAACCCTAGAGCACGCCGCCTAAGCTCCAAAGAACGCCGCCTAAACTCCAAAGCCCTATGGGAAGAATCTACTATATGGGGCCTCATTAGTTGGACCAGGGTCTTGGGGCCGATTATGCTATAAATATAAGCAGGAACCCCCCCAAAATAGTGTAGGTATTCTGTCGATTCGGCCGCGCTCTCCCCTTCCAGTAGCCCGACCCGCACACTTTAGGGTTTAGGGTTTAGACCCAGAGACTCCAATATCCCTATTAAGGAGTAGACCTTAAATTATAATAGGATCCCTAACATGATTTAAGGAATATTCCTTGATTAAAGGATATTGGAGTCTCTGAGGAGTGTGTAACAGTATGCGCGCGCTGGGTGCGCTTCTTTGGAAATGGCGGCGCGCCCACTTGTCGCGTGCTTGCGTCAGCATGTAGTCCCGCCCCAACCACCCCAAAAATTCTCCATTAGCGTTTCGGGCTGACCATCCAAATCGCCCTAGCCGGAAACCCTGAATCCTAAACCCCATACTGCGCTACTAACTGGTATTGTGGTAAAGTACACTGTGCTGTACTACAGTAGAAGCCAGAAAGTTGGGAACATCGTTATCCTCATGTCCTGAAGGTAAAGTATAGGAGATCCCAGCACGATTCATCCTCAATCCATGTTCCAACTTTCCGGGATTCACTGTATATTCCGATATAAGATGAACCCTACACCCTGAACTCGAAGTCCCTATACCCCCTAAACCCGAAGTCCCTAAGCTTCTAAGCCCTAAACCCCAAACCCTAAACCCTAAACCCTGAACCCTAAACCCGAAGTCCCTAAAAACCCTAAGCTTCTAAGAGCCCCGTCTGCCCAGGGAGGAGCTCGAACGCCGGCTGTCCGCCATCGACAGCGCCTGCAACGGCAACTGCAGCAAAACCTGCGAGGTCGGGCATCTTGGAGTGCTTGGGGCTTGCCAAAAAGGCTTTAATCAGATCTTAAATCCAAAAGGATCGGTTACAGGCTTATCCGTATTCGGGTTTCGTGTCGTGATCTACAGTTTACAGGTGGTTGGTAGGTTTTTGTTGGTAGAAGCTTTGGATCTTAATGGGGCGTTTTTTTTTTTTTTTTTTGGGTTTGGGGTTTGGGTGTGGTGGGAGGCTCTGGAACGTGCTCCGAATCTCCAAGTAAGGTTCTTGCAGGTTTCTGTTGGGTGGTTGTAGGGGCTGAGACTTCGCTGTTTGGTGCTTGAGGTCGGGGCTCTTCGAGATAGTTTAGAAGCTGCCCCCACCCTGTTATAGTGAATTTAAGGGTTATATTAGGGCCCTATTATATTCCTATTCTACCACTATTACAGAGATAGTGGTTTTAGGATCAGGGGTTCGTTTCCTATCTGTGTGAAGTAGTAGGAGAAAGGGTAGAATTTTCAAGTTTCTGGGTATGAGTTACGTGAACCCTAGTGAAGGCTCAGGAGACCCCAAACCCTAAAATCCAAACCCCTCAACCCAAAACTCCTAAACCTAAACCTCTAAACCCCTAAAGTCCCAGAGACTCCAATATCCCTTAAGGAGTATACCTTAAACTATAATAGGATCCCTTATATGATTTAAGGAATATTCCTTAATTAAGGGATGTTGGAGTCTCTGGGCTCTAAGCTCATTGGGCACCAACCCTCGCGGGACGGCTAGAAAGCCAGGAGACCTGTGAGGTTGAGTTCTTTTTGTTGAGGGGTTTCTGGGTTCTTGTCAAGGGATTTAATAAAAGCTACCAGAATGAAGAAGCCAGATTATTTACTACAGATCCCCTTTATAGTAAACTAAACTAAGTTCCTTAGCACGAACCGAGGTTTAGGGTGAAGAGTATAGAAAGCCTTTATCTTTTATCATACAGATCCCTAGAAAACCAACCCTTTAACAACCCAAATCACCAAACGGAGAGCGTGATGAGAAGGGGTGTTCCTGTCAGGACTCCATGCCGCCTGGCAGCGCTGCAGGGGAGAGTTCTACTTTGTTGAGTAGGTTTTTGAAAGTGGCCTTAGATTATACAATAAGTATAGTCAGGAACCCCCACAATAGTGTAGTAGGCCAATATTAAGCCCCTCTATTACGGGTTTAAGGGTTGCAATTGGGGGAACCGTGTTCAGGGGTTCTTATGGAGAGGTTCCTCCAATTTGAAGACTCTACTCCCTTGTGGGGCTCATTGGCAGAGGGTCCATGCAGATATCCTGCAAAAAGATGGGGTAGGGAGCCCAAGATCTATAATGGAGACCGTAGGTAGGCCCTTAATCCGCAACATGCCAAGCTTAAATTAAGGATCGCTGTAGAACCTTAATCTGACCCTAGGCCCTGAACCCGAAGCCGTGAATCCCAAACCGCGTGAATGTGCAGTCTTTCTCCCATGGCGATGACGGACATGGCCTCAAGGAAAAGCAGGGTCAGCATTTTTACGCCCCCCGACGAGGATGAGGACGGGCGCAAAGACGGCGGCAAGTCGCCAATTTCGGAGAACAGCCATCCCGAAATGGTGGAAAATGTGGTCACGGTCAACAATGCCGAGTTGCAGAGCATGCCGCTGGACCAGCAGCGACGGCTGTATGCATGCCAGCATCGCAACCGCAAATACGGTTTGGCCTCATCACTGTGCCAGCTTCGCTTTTCGAGTTTTCAGGCTCGTTATAACAAAAGTTACCTTACCTATAACCCTACTTATACCTACCCACGAACCTCCAACTAGTAATAATTATCGTGCTACCCAAATCTTGCCCTAAACCCTTTCCCTGCAACCTGTGCCATGTAGACCTCGGTAGTACTGTCGCCTGCATTGCTGCGGATGGGCATAAGCCTCGAATACCATTATACCATAGTGCATTTTTCTATATTCCTATATTTTCATAGTATTATAATGTTATAATACCAAAGCCTCCTACTCCTGCAAGGCATGCAAGGGCTGAGCCCTGCACCCCAACAGTACTGAACCTCAGCCCCATTTTGTCGTAACTTCAAGTAAATCCCTTAACAACAACCCTTCTTGATCCCCAAAGGAACCCTTAAAGGAACCCTTATTAAAGGAACCCTAAATTATGGAACTTAGAGCCGGTTTTGGGTTCTATGGCTGCTGCAACACCAAGGCCCTCAGATCAAGTGAAGGGCAGGTACCTAAGCCGTAAACCCTAGCGATTCAGAGTTTGGGGTTGAGGGGTTCTGCTAGTTCCTTGTTTGGATATTGGGCTTAGGGTTTAGGGTTTTAGAGTTTATAGGGGACTTAGTGTTTTTATTTTACAGTTGAGTTGGGGTTTAGGGTTTAGGGTTGTAGAGTTTGGGGTTTAGGGTAATATAGGGGCGAATATAGTTACCAATACTACTTTGGAGGGTTCCTTGTTATAGCTATAGTGTAATGGGCCCAACACCTTATTCTAATGAAAGGGCCCCTACATTATTGGGCTAGCAAGTCGAACAAGTCAAGAATCACATTCATACGTCAGGAAGGTTTTGATTCAGGTTTGAGCTTTCCTGTCCAGAGTCAACAAGGAAACACTCCTAAACCCCAAACCCTAAAACCTTAAACCTCTAAAACCTAAACCCTAAAACTGTAAACCTTGAACCCTTAAAGCCCAGGAACGGAACCGTGGATTCCGAGAATTCCTCTCAGATGGAGCGTTTCTGCCCCGGGGCTTCGGGGGAGCTGAAGTTCGAACCTCTGTTAACTTCGGGCTGGGCTTGGGGCTCTCTTTAGGGGTTCAGGGGTTTTGGGGTTTAGGGTTTAGGGGTCAAAAGGTTGAGGAGTTTAGGGTTTAGGGGTCCAGGGTTTAGGGGTTTAGGGGTTTAGGGTGTAGGGTTTAGGGGTTAGGGGTTAGGGGTTTGGGGATTTAGGTTTAGGGTTTAGGGGTTTAGGTTTACTGGTTAACGGCTTAGGGGTTTAGGTTTAAGGTTTAGGGGTTTAGGGTTTAGGGTTTAGGGTCCATTTTAAGGGCACTGTAAGGGCTCTAGTAAAGGGTTTAGGGTTTGGTGTGTTTGAGTGAGGGTGCTAGGATTGTTCGGGTCAAGGGTGTTGGGGAAGAGCGCCTCGGGGGTTCATGGTGTGTCAGGGCTCGCGTAAGGGTTTTGCGCGTTACCGTTACGGTTTAGGTTGGACAGAAGCGGCTACCAGTTTCACTCGACACCCCCGAGCGGCTGCACGATCGTCTCGGGAAATGGTCAACTGTCAGGTATAAGTGGCTCAGCACCTCCTCAAGGGCCGAAGCACTCAAGGAGAAGGTGCCTCGACAATGGCTAATAAGCGGCTAATAACGGATGACGCCGTGAAAGTTGATCTGGCTTCTGTGTGTCTCAAACTGAGTAGCTCGGTGTCAATGCTCAAATCCACTGGGACCCTGAGGATCCAGAGCAGAAGTGGATAATCCCAATCACATCAGAGCCGGCTGCCCGAAAATAAATCCTGAAGCTAAACCCAAAGCCCTAACCTCCAGACCCCACCTTACACTACCATCGGTTTCCTTTTGCAGGTTCCTATTGTAGATCGTCAAAAAGAAGTTTGAAATTATCTCCACGATTGTTCACCTCTACACCTAGGTCGAAAGGTTTTAGCGTTTCGGGTTTGGAGGAGCGCCGTAAAACCCAAACCGGACATTGTAGATTCTGGATAGGTTAGCTGCAGGAACGACTTTTTTGAAGGTAGCATAGGAGCTTGCCCACAGTATACCCAATAACTGCGCTGAGCCCTATACCCCAAACCCTGATCCCTAAACACCGATTTTCGGGGCCAAAAATCATCGATAGTAACGATCGTTCCGCAGTGCTTCAGCGCTCCGAAAGTCGTTTACGCGAAAAACACACACCCCAAAACCCTCCTGCAAGCACCATCTTGCCCCACACCCTGAACCCTAAACCTGAAACCCCGAACTCTGCACCCTAAGCCCTAAAGCCTAAACCTAAATCCTAAACCCTAAACTCTAGACCCCAACCCTGAGCACTAGACCCTCAGCCTTAAATTCTAAAGTCTACAGCCTGAGCCTGAAAGTCTAAGTCTAGGGCCCTCAAACTGCCCGATCGGGGCATCGCAGGATTCGCCAGAGGACTGCATGGCAATCTGCCCCATGGTCCCAACTTACTGGTTTTAGGGCTTGGAGGTTGGGGTTTGGGGTTTACCTTAACCCTGAATAACATACTTTTTTCGGGTTCCTTGTTATGATTTCCTTATATATGTCCTTGAACAGGTAGGCTATTCAGGGTTAAGGCAGGCTTTGGGACTTAAGGTTTAGATTGTAGGGTCTATAGGGCGTAGATGAAAGAGTTGGGCCCATGGGAGTTGCTGAGTCATTTTCATAGATTTTTTGCTGTATGTTTTAGAAGGGGCCCCCACCCTGTAATAGTGGTATAAAAGGAATGTACTTGGGCCCTACTATAATCCTTATAGTCACTACTACAGGGGGCCCCTTCGAATGTATGTTTCCCTATATGGCGATCTCAAAGGCGACTTGTTGCTTGCCATGGGGGAGATCATAGGGATCCTTAGGGGTGTAGGGGGAGGGGGGGTAGGGGGCCTTAAGGCCCATAATAAGGACTAATAAGGCCTATTTAAGGAAGTATAGTCCCCTACACCCCTCCCCCCTACACCCCTAAGGATCCCTATGAGGAGAGTAGAGTTGTGGGTTTTACATGTAGGGTTTGGTGTTTAGGGCGCCTTTCAGCGGTTAGATCTCGTATGGGTTCTATGAGGGCTTTTTCATGTACACGGATTCTGATAGGGCTTCACAGTTCCACAGGTGTTGCTTAATCAGGGCTCCTGTTTCCGTCGTGGTTCTAAGGGTTCTTGCTTGAGAATTCAGTGTTTAGGGATTGAGAGCGTGGGGTTGGGGATTACGGAAACTCTATACCCTAAGCAAGGAACCGTGGGAAGGTTCTGTTTAGGATTGGGGCTGTCGGGTTTAAGCATTGAGAGGATAAGGTCTGGAGTGTGGAATTTGGCAGAATCATTGAACTTCTTTGTTTAGCGCTTGGCAGTTCAGGGGAGGTTTGAATTTGGGGGTGTAAGCAGTATAGGATCAGGACTGGCATTTGGAGTTTGGTGTCTAGGAGCCTGATAGGTTTGAGCGGTCTGCCTGACATGGAGTGTGGAGTTGTGGGTATAGGTATGATTCAAATCTACATTTTCGGTGTGGCACTGGGAGACTGCAATATGTCCAAACCCCTTAACCATTCCAAGGAGCCCGACAAGCCCAGGCCTACCGACCCCAGACGCATCCTTAGACTGGCCTCTTGTTAAGGAACATTAGTTTAAGTCTAAGTCACCGCAAGAAGCATGTCTGGTACATAATGTGGCTTTGTGTTAGGGCAAAGTAGGTTGAGTTCCTTAACAAGAACCCAGAAGTGCCTTCAGGAAAGATACCCAAAGCGTCCAAGGTTATAGTCATATCGAGACTTCGCTACCAATTACTGGTACGGTTTATAAGGCCTCCTCATCATAGTTGTATTACAACGTATCCCAAAACCTATTCCAAATACCCAGAAAGTCCAAAATCAGTTAATCAAGGAATATGGTATAGCTTAAACTGTAACATGAAGACCCCTACATATTTTAAGGTGTATTCCTGAATTAATTAATCACAGGGCAGTTGGGCTCTCTGGGTGTTGAGGCCTTCTTCCGGGGCTTTGGGGTTCTCCAGGTCGGTTTGCCAAACAAAGGAGTGCCGTAAACTGATTTGAATGAGTTTTGTCGGGGTTTTGCCGGGGTTTACATAAGGGTTGGTAAACAGGTTCTCTTGTATGGGAGCTTTAGTACATACGGTTGATGATATAAATCCTGCATGACCCATAATAAGGAATATACCATAATTCCCATAGTATAGGGTCCTTAAGGTAATGCAGGATTTATATCATCAACCGTAGTTGGAATGCTTTCATATACTGCGACAAAACGGGCCATTGTTGCCACTTTCACTCGCCCCAATGGCCCGAACCCTCAACTCACCTTCGTGGTCCGATACTACTTGGAGGCCCTTTTGACTTAGTAAGTCTACTTAGTATCCCCTAGAAACCCTATTATAATCCCCATAACTTACCTTACTAACCCTACTTACTAAGTCAAAAGGGCTCCCAAGTACTACTGCAGTTCAATATTTGCCGTAACTGCAAGTCGCGCTACACGTCCGCTAAGCCACTATGTAGAAGTCTCCTATAGAAAACCATGAGAAAACCACTAGTCACTATTTTCCTGTAAAGCCCTAAACCCGGGACCTGCCTAAACCCTAAACTCCTAAACCCCTAAACCCTCTAAACCCCCAAACCCCTAAACCCTAAACCCTTAAACCCTACACCCTGAACCCCAAAGCCCCAAAACCCCAAAACCCCTAAACCCCAAAGCCCCTGAAGCCCTAAACGCGGGACCCTTCGAAGCCCGAAAGCCAAAGGCCTCCATGAGTGTACCGACCGAGAGACCGGCAGCTGAGCTGCGATGGGAGAAGTGGGCTTAGGGGATGTCAGGAAGTTCAGGGTTTAGGGTTTAGGATTTAGAGTTTAGGGGTTTGGGGTTTAGGATTTAGGGTTTAGGGTTTAGGATTTAGAGTTTAGGGTTTAGGGGCTCAGGGTTTTGGGGATCTTAGGAAGTTCAGGGTTTAGGGAGTTCAGGGGTGAGGGTTTCGGGATCTCAGCAAGTTCACGGTTTAGGGGATTGGGGTTTAGGGTTCCGGGTTGAGGGTTTAGGGATCTCGGGAAGTTCAGGGTTTAGGCATTGGGGTTTGGGGTTCAGGGTTGAGGGTTGTGGGGATCTCAGGAAGTTCAGGGTTTAGGGATCAGGGTCCCTCGAGCTGCATGACCCATGGCCACAGTGCAGGGAACCTGAAAATCGATGCTGCCCACGGGTGGACATACGTGCCTAAACTTGGGGGAGACATCTACGACCACGAGTACGGCACTCTCGCGTTCTTCACTTCGATGCTTGGGGTCGTCGTGCACGACCGGGAGGCTCTGGGTTGGCGGAGGGAAAGAGGGTGCACTGTTATGTGTGTTGTGTTCGAGTCAGGTGCTGCAGCCAACTCCCTCTGCACGTATCTGCCTGGCACGACCCCGCGGAAAGAGCATGTGGTCGAGAACGCCAATACTCGCAGGCCATGTGTCTGGGTGACAGGCAATGCGCCGGAAGCCGCCAGGAGCTACACGTCCTGCGGCCACCTCAGAGACGGGTATTGGTACCAGATCATGGTGTGCGTGTCCAGTGAATTGGTCGACCCGTTCTTTGAGGGCTTCTTTGAAGGTTTAGGGGGTTTAGAGTGTTAGGGCGGGTTTAGGGATCCCAGGAAGTGCAGGGTTTCTAGGGGTTTGTTAAGGGGTTTAAGGAAGTCAAGGGTCTAGTGTGGAGGGATTCTAAGAAGTTAAGGGTTGCTAGAAGGGGTTTAGGGTTCAGGGATCTTAGGAATTTAATGATTAGGAATTCTAGGAACGCAAGGCGCTTTGATGTGGTTTGTTTAGGGTGTTCGGACCATGAGGGTTGCCGTTAGGTTTCGGTTCGGATTTTAGGACTTCTAAGGTTTCTGGGTTGCTTTAGGGATCTTAGGTCTTCTATGAGGATAGGGAGGGTTCTCAGAAGGGTACTTCTCAGTGTGTTTAACCCTATTCAACAATATTCAGAAATGTTTGCATTTCTGCTTAAATATTCGGAAATATTCAGTTTTCTTCGGTAAACTTCCATAATATTCTTCATTCTTCCAGGTTCTTCACCATTATTCTTAGATCTTCGTAAATCTTCGAAATTATTCGAAACTATTCGAAATTATTCGAAATTATTCGAAATTATTCCAAATTATTCCAAATTATTCGTTGTATCTGCGGAGAACTTCAAACACTTTTCTAGACCATTCTTCTCAGATCTTCGTAAATCTTCGAAATTCTTCGAAATTCTTCCAAATTCTTCGTTGTATCTGCGGAGAACTTCAAACACTTTTCTAGACCATTCCTCTTAGATCTTCGTAACTCTTCGAAATTCTTCGAAATTCTTCGTTGTATCTGCGGAGAATTCAAACACGTTTCTAGACTTCTGCTTGTTTCCCCCGCTGAAACCGCCAGCTCGCACCCTGTTCGGAAATACATATCCTATAGGAAATTACAATTCGCATCCTTGTTTTTCTTGGATTCCAAGCACAAATCCTATGGGAAATTACAATTCGCACCCTGTTCGGAAATACATATCCTATGGGAAATTACAATTCGCACCCTTGTTTCTCTTGGATTCCAAGCACAAATCCTATGGGAAATTACAATTCGCACCCTGTTCGGAAATACATATCCCATGGGAAATTACAATTCGCACCCTTGTTTTTCTTGGATTCCAAGCACAAATCCTATGGGAAATTACAATTCGCACCCTGTTCGGAAATACATTAAGTAGACTCTGTTTCTTGGCATCCAGGTACAGCATCCTATGGGAAATTACAATTCGCACCTTTGTTTTTCTTGGATTCCAAGCACAAATCCTATGGGAAATTACAATTCGCACCCTGTTCGGAAATACATTAAGTAGACTCTGTTTCTTGGCATCCAGGTACAGCATCCTATGGGAAATTACAATTCGCAACCTTGTTTTTCTTGGATTCCAAGCACAAATCCTATGGGAAATTACAATTCGCACCCTGTTCGGAAATACATATCCTATGGGAAATTACAATTCGCACCTGCTCGCACCCTGATTAGCGCTTGTGTTTCTTGGATTCCAAGTACAAATCCTATGGGAAATTACAATTCGCACCCTGTTCGGAAATACATTAAGTAGACTCTGTTTCTTGGCATCCAGGTACAGCATCCTATGGGAAATTACAATTTGCACCCTTGTTTTTCTTGGATTCCAAGCAAAAATCCTATGGGAAATTACAATTCGCACCCTGTTCGGAAATACATTAAGTAGACTCTGTTTCTTGGCATCCAGGTACAGCATCCTATGGGAAATTACAATTCGCACCCTTGTTTTTCTTGGATCCCAAGCACAAATCCTATGGGAAATTACAATTCGCACCCTGTTCGGAAATACATATCCTATGGGAAATTACAATTCGCAGCCTAGTTTTTCTTGGACTCCAAGCACAAAACCTATGGGAAATGAC